TGTATTTTATAATTTTATTATATATAACTGTTGTTGTGAGCAGTCGATCCAATTCTTGGGTTTGCAACTACTAAGGTTCTACTCCGTAACCTAGCAATTTTGAACCCTACTCAGAAGAGAAGGGAACTCCTGGATCAAGTATTGGGAGAAATTTTGCCTTCGTGTAGGACTTTTTGACGGAACTAATCCGAATTTGTGTTGTATGGAGAGGAAGACCACGAGATCCTCCCACGGTTAACCTGACGGCAAAGGGACTCCAACCCATGATTCATCTACCACTGAAGATATTTCACGTCAGCACTGTGGTCGGTGCAAACCGGATGTGGAATTCGCATCGACTGGGATTCGAACTCGGTGTGAACACTCTATCCCCCGAGCCTTCGCGGCTCTCCGCAGATTGTATTGAATTAATTAGAATGACTTCACGCATGCTTGCCATTTTATGCTGATATTCATTGGCGAAAATGGCTGGCTGGGAAGCAAATGTGCGCCAAATAAGAATTGAATGTAGGGTTTAGTGGCGCAAGATCCAGATGAGGACATGCTGCGTGCGCCAAATAAGAGCTTAATGATTAATATAAAAATAAGCCAAATTTGACATCAAAAGGGGTAAAAACTTGAGCTAAAATTCAGTCCGATAAAGAGGTGATGTAATATAAACAGGAATGTTCTAGAACTTTCAGTTTTTACCGAAAAAGGATTTAAGTCACCTGAAGATCAGTGCCGGATTGGAGGTGTTAACATTTCTGGGGGAGCTGCTGACTGCCAAATTATAGTATTTTTAAACAGGTGATGAGAGGATACTCATATATAAAAGAGCACACAGTAATTCCCATGAGAAAAAGATACTTTGTTTAAAATGGTAACCATACAAACGCAACATCAAAGGAAACAATTAGGTTAACAAACAAGGAAAAATTTGTGAAATAATAAAAAAAATTTTACATTTTCTGAATTAAAAATATACTAAGAATTATTCCAAATAGGTATTAACAGTTCAAAAATAGAATTAATACTCAAATATATAATTATTTTAAAAATAAATTTCGTAAAATATTTAAACCCAATATTGTGGAATTAATATATAAAACGAAAATAGCTCAGTTTACACAATCTTAACTACATTAAATAGATAGTAATTAAATCACAATGATTATGCTTAAATAAAAATTATTAATTTAACAAAAATGCACAATTAAAATAGCGTTATGATATTGATTGCCAAATATTTAACATATGTATATTAATTTGACAAAATAAAACGTCATAAAATATTTTTATGTCCTAAACAAATATTCATATGCTGTATCAATACCACAATGGCTAGAACTACAGCACTGCTACATTCTTACTCACGATATGCTCAATGAACAGCGGCATTTTATTTAATTCTATTAATTTCTGAATTTTCGTAATCTATATATTTAAATATCAATTGATACAAAACCCACACAAGAAACTCTTTACACAATAAACACAACAGGCCACCTACTGGTTTTCCCTTTTCAGATCTGATATGGTCAAGCTCTGAGAATTTTTTTCAGAGTGATAGGAAATTTATTAAATATTAGTTTTATTATTAATGATATTTCCAGGACGCTTAGATACAAATTGCCCAACACATAAAATTTTCAAATGAATTGGCTAGAGGACATTTGATGGCTGAACTTAATTCACAACCATTAGAATATTGAACTTTCAAAAAATGTTGTGGATAAGACCGGGCCAATGATTATTTTTATGATACGTAATAGGCTAATACAGTAAAACCCCTATTTAGTAAACCTTCAAGGGCTCGAAATTTCATTTCACTATTACCGGGAGTTCTATATATCCGTTCCGCAAATAATTTTAACTAATGCTTCCGAACTCTTTTTCATTATACATTATTTAAATAAGTGACCAATAAAATGAAATACAAAAAAGACCGAAAAATAATACGTAGTAACAAAAAATGTGTTAACTTGGTTTTATTTTTGATTACTTTTCGTCTTGTGCACACAAAAATTAGTAACCTTCAGCCGATGCAGGGAAAAATTTGTCCATACATTTGCCTGGGTAGGTTTTTGTTTAGGGATGGAAAAGTGAGATAAAAGTAAGCAAGTAAAATGCTTATCGCTACATTCCATTCTATAGATGGTTTTAAAAATCAGTATATAAGTATTTATTTTGAAATAGATATTTTAAAATTATTAGAAAAGAAAACAGAAAAAAAGTTCATCATATCCAACTTCCTCACTTTTTTAGTTTACTATATCTACACAAAATAAGATTATACGCGTATAGCAAGGCACGGGAGCGAACATTTCGTTCACTATATCTGGGAGTTCAATATAAGCAGTGTTCACTATAGCAGGGTTTTTTATATTTTCTTTTTAAACATATCTTAGCAGAGAAGATTGAATCATAAATAAAAACAAAAATGATCAAAGAGTTAAAAAAATATGACTTGAATGATTTCATGTATTCAATAGTTGCTTATCTGTTCCGTTGGGTCTTCAAATTTTATCAATTTATGTCACGTTTCTAATATACAATGATTTAATTAAATCCTTTTAATAATCAATGCAGAAACATAAAACAGGAAAAATAAATTAATATATATTTAAAAAGCTTCTTTTTATACATGAAAGGTTTTAGATTATTGAAATAAGCAATTGATTCAAAATTACTTTAATAGTTAAATTTACATTTATTGAATAGCTCAAGCTTAATTATTGTATAAACTGATACACCTTTTTTGAAATCCTAAGTTTTAAAATTGCTTTTGTAAAAAATAAAATAAAAGCTGTTTTAACTTTACGTAAACCTTTAACGGCAATTTGAAACTAAGTGGGTGCATGTTGATAAGATACTTGCGTGAGAGTTTTATTGCAAGTAAATCGTGCTGAATGAGAAAAATCGAATAAACAATTTAAACTATAAATAATTCAAGAATTGTGTTTCGTGATTAGAAAAACCCATTAATCATTTTATTTTGCTTTCTTGAAATGATTCATAAAACGATATTTCGTTTTTTAAACAAACTTTGTTATTTTTATTTTTAAAAAAAAATTCATGAATAAATTGTGAAATATATAAATATATTTATATCATATTCTAAGGTTTCACGATAAGCCTTTTACCAAATCGAATAACAATAATCAGTTTACACTTTTGTGGTATATCTAAATGGTTCATAACAGTTAAATCATGGTTAATTACTTATTTTCCAAATGTATTTCACAATTATATCAAGTCCCGCAGTGAACTAATCGTAAAGACACGGTTCCCAGTAGAATACTGAAGTCAAGCCTCACTGACTGCGGTCAGTAAGCTGGTGGGTGAGCCTACGTAAGGACCGGGGGTGGGTGGTATCGATCCTCTTTTAAACTGTTCTACCGTAAAGTGCTCAACTTCGCGTAAAGATCGTCTGGCTACCGAAGCAGAGGAGCCATCCCTTCCACAGAGGATCAAAATTGCGATGACGTGTCTTTGGATCATCCTCAGGGATGTATCTCCGACCGTCGCCAATAGCCTATTGTTCAGCTTCAGTGCGACGCAAATAAAGTTCCTACCTAACTGATTATAACAAAGGAAAATTGGGTCTAACTAATGTTTTCCAGTGCTTCTACGATACTAAATTCAGAAAAATGAAGCCTGTCTTATGAATCTTTTATGGAGATGTGGGATTGATTTATTTATTTACACTCATAAATGGGTTTCATTGTAAATACAAAGAAGTACTTAAAAACAATTTTTAATTTGCAAAAGAGACAGTAAAAATTTGAGAAATACAGCAAGAATATACATCGAATATTATAGCGAGATTATCGATCCCCTTACACCTACTCTTCAGCGATATCGTACGGCAACCAAGTCCCCTAAAATTTATTGCAAGGGGAACAACCACGCATTATTAGAGACTCAAATGCCAAGGGATATTGTCCTTCCACCAAACGCTCTGAAGCGTAGAGATAGTGGGTTCAACATATGTATGCTACCTTTCTCATTTTTGTGCTACCTGTTTTTTAATTTAAAATGAGACAAGCCATTCTTTGCATTAAAGCACACGAGGCTGCATTATCTGTACAAAATTTATTTATTGTTACACATGCCAGGTTACGGTTTGATTCAAAGTCACTCCCTCCATTTTATATAGCATTTGGAGAAAAGGAGAGAAATTTCGAACAGAGAGATACCTTTAAAACGAATAATTAAAAAGAATTGTAAACAACTTTTCTCCAAGTATTTACTTTTTGTTACACATACACATGCAGTTCCTTAAAAAGCAGTTCCTTAAATTTATAATCAGCTCCTTAGCAGCAAATTACAGGCAGCTCAAAATTAGAATTGGACATAGGCGGCCAGGTGGCCGAGCGGTTAGCGTGCCTGACTGCGAAGCCATAGGCTGCGGGCTCGAATCCCGCTCTGGGCATGGATGTTTCTCTCTCTCTCTTTGTGCTGTCCTCTGTTGTGTGTATGATGTGTTAATGTGGCCCATCCTATAAACGGGTTTGTGGCAGTGTGGCGTGGGCAATGTTGCTCGCCTTCGCGACTTTGGTTCACAGGTGCCCACTGGGAAACGCGAAATGAGCAACAATTCTGGCATAGTATAGGCAAAAGATTAAAATTCAGTGCCTGCCATTGGAAAAAAAAATTGGACATTTCAACGATGTATCCGTTACAGCGTGGGGTTGTGGGTTCAAATCCTGCCGTATATCTTGATACACTTTTCTATCTTGTACTATCTGTTCTTCAACGTAACAAGAGGTTATAAACCGAACGGAGAAGATGTTATAAATGGCAAATAAGCCTGCATATGTATGAGCAACAATATGCATGAATAAATAAATATAAATCGATGCATCCGTTGTTGCGGTGAAATTTGAAACCGCTACCTCCATGCTTCCATTTTAGTATTCTGTATAGTCATTGTTGACGCGTAGTGTATGTTGCATTATTTATATCGTGTTGCACTTCTTAATTTCTGTGTTATAGTAATGTTTGTTTCTTTTCAGATTCGCAACTAAAGAAGCAGCCACACATGCCATTGTGGCTACTCATAACATGGAAGTGAATGGTCAAACAGTGAAATGTTCGTGGGGTAAAGAAGCCGGTGATCCCAATAATCAGCAGCAGCAACAGGTGGGCTTAAGTCTCAAGGTGGGTGGGTGATCAAATCATTCAATGCTAAAAACATTTTGGGAACTTGTATTTGAAAAATCTTTTAGATAACATCGAGCAAAAAAAACAAAAAAATATAAATGAAATTAATGTTGCAATTTAGGTATACTAAATGAAGTTTTTTCTTAATATCGTGAGTGCTTGTAGTTATCCTCAAAAATCACTGCTTTTATTCATTTATTTATGTTATTTATTTAAATTAATATCAAAGATTCCTAGATGTTGGGGATGGAAATAAATACTTAATTGAGTAAAAAACAAACATTATCAATATCAGGCGAAGCATTAACAAGGCAATATTGGTAAAGATGGAATTATAATCAGTAAAACCAGTTATTGGTTCTTTTAAATTTACTTCAACTGGAATTCACCTCAATAATGATTTTTCAGATTTTGATATCTTTTCCCTTATACATTTAGTTGTAATCCCTTATGACTATTTAATAATGTTTTAGTTTTGAAATATCCTTTAAAAATATATAATAATGATGGGAATTACTAAATCTTTGTTTATATTGTTATATTGCATAATTAAGAGGTGTTTTTAATTTCAGCTTAGTACCTATCAAGAGAAGCTAATTTCCTCACTGCATTGACTTTTAACTTTCCTTTCCAGAAACTTGCAATCAAACAATTATATTCTAAACATTATATTTTTTGATTTGCTCTGATACTTCTGAGTGACCGTAATGAAATACTGAATTTTTATTAGTCTATTTTATTTTAAATTTTCAAAACTTTAAAATGAGCTTTATACAGCTTTATTGAGCTTTTTTCTTTTTTTTCAAAAAACATCAAAACAGGTTTTTAAACAATAAATTTTAACAGTAAAAAATTTTCTCGATAATAATAGTATTTTAGTCCGAAAATAAGAAATACTAAAATGTCTATGGTACAGTTCAGTACACGTGTAAATACTTATTCCAAGCACTATGAATCCTTTTCCTTTTTTCCAATTTTATAGTGCCATTAATTTAAGATTAATTTTGATATAAAATGAAATAACATTTTTTTCCTTAATATACCTTAAAAGTACACAAAACAATGTGTAAAATACAACTAAGTAATTTAAAATAACAGCCTTTCCATTGCTACAAAATCATATTACCACCATCAATGCCAAAATACAGAATAAAGAGAAATTAAAGAATGAATTTGAAAATTTTTATACACACCTAAGTTCAAGTTATATTTACGAAATTTTAGGAGTATTCAAAAAGATCACTTGTGTAGGATTTTACTAACACAAAATACCAATCATTTCTTGGAATCAATGAAAAATTACACTACTGGCCATTAAAACTGCTATATCAGAAAGATGTCATGTATCACCTATAAGCCTATAAGCCACTTATGATTTGTCATGTATTAAGCAAGTATCACCTGCAACTTTCATGGCAAATGAAACCCGGTGTGGTGCACAAACGATTAGATCTTCAGCACATTCGTGTAAAGCAGGTGTCATCTATAATACTTATAAAAACAATGATTCAACAGAAATTTTCCCATACTCAATTGGCATTTGAACGCTATTTTCGGCTTACAAATTTGTTGCATTGCCTTGCTTAAAAAACCTGTATGCTTACTAACACGGATTTAGAAAAAAGAATGTGGTTTGTCCTACTGCATTATTTCTTCTCACTTTGGAGCAGATAACTTTGGGATCAGGAATGTCATACGTCAGGCTAAATTTCATTAAATTTCATAAATTCTAACAGTCAAGAAGTCAGATATTTTTCCAGATTGGCAACAAAGAGTTGCACATTCACACAACAAGCTCTGAATGGGAACGCACAATTATTTTCATATCAATAACTTTCTGCTCAAAGAGTTCGATACCGTTTGAAACAGTATGGATCGCCAGCAAGGCAACCAAGTCTTCTGCTATCCTGAGTACTACATCAGACAGAAATAGTTTCTGTAGTTAGTTACTTTTTTACTTAAAGTTATTTTTTTAAGCTTGATATGACTGCTTATTGTCCTTACTACCCTCACATGGCAGACAGTCATCGTGATCAACCCACCCTTGATCTTTGTAGTTGTTGATACTAAGTGACTGACTAGTCTTCACTCACCAATTACTACATTCATTGAATTGTGGATGGAAAGCAAGGACGAAGACAATCACACCGGGAGTGGGATCTTCATCAAAACTCAGATGAGCGAAATTAGGATCCAGAAAAGGAATCCCGACCACTGTTCCGTTTTTAAGAGCGAGCTTATCGCCATCGATGATGGACTTGCCTCAATAATGTCACTATCAATTCCGAAAGAGATTTGGATCCGACAGTAGAAGCGCTGTTCAGCACTTGGCTAGCTGGCACAGAGTGAGGGACTATACTAGCACGAACATCCTTTGTAAACTTTTTCACCTCTCCAAATATTGTCGAATTCATGTACAATGGATACCTTCACACGTAGATATATCAGGCAATGAAATGGCAGATAGTCTTGCCAAGGCAGGTGCAGCTGAGGCCACTGCGCCTCCAGTGTCTCTTACCTCCTCAGAGCTCTTCTCCATTGCTAAAGCCAAAAACAAATCAGCATGGCTCACTCCACCCAGTCACAATTGGTACCAGGGTACCAGACCGGGTAGCTGTTTGACAGCTGACGAAGACCGTCAGTCTCACACCGCCATCACACGTCTACGCTGTGGACACCTGAAATCACTGAGGTACTCTGGAGGAGTAAAGTGCTTTGCCATCTGTACCAAGTGCTCTTCGGCCCAGGCATCCCCTGAACATCTACTGGACTGCCTCGGTCTTTTAAAGCAAGGCCTTATTGAAAGACCCTTACTTGTTTTAGACTTTTTGAAGGTGAACAATCTCATGAACCTTGTCTAGCTAGGCTAGAAATGGGGATTTGAAAGAAGAAGAATTGTGGCATAGTCTTGAAGCTGTATTGACTAAGGCCACACTCTGTTTGACTTTTTGTCTAGGGCGATAAATTCTGTTACTACTACTAGAGTGAGCAAATTTGTGTACTGATTTCTTGAGATCTATTCTCCCTTACTTTCCGTAAACTTAATCCCTAGTTTATTTCCATAATAATTTAATTTTCCAACAAATATCATTCTGCATTCATATTAGCATTCCTTTCTGGTGTAATAATTTTAAGCAGTGTGCATTTGTAGCTCCATTATTCTTATCCTGAGAATGAAAACCACGTTTATTCTTTTTCTTTTTTGGGCTTAACGCATAGCTTAATCAGGTGATATATGGCGGTCACTTTTAGGTGTTCAAGAAATTATTTTATCAATCTGCCTGAATAAGAAGATGCATTGTCATGGCAACGCATTGTGCACCTGTTAGTTGTTTTCTATTACTTAAGTTCAATTGCTTCAATCTGTCCCGTAGTTATGAAAAAATGCCATTAGTTACTTTTCATAGCACGCTCGCTGTCTTTTCAAAAAAGTGCCCTTAGGATTGCAATTAAAGGCGCATACTTTACATTTAACGGCATGTTATAGAACGTCAAAAATATTTATGTAAGTCTCAGCATTGTCACGTCATTTCTTAGTGCACAATTCATCGTGAGCAATATTCATCTCTGTAGCATTCTATCGTAGGCACTATTCGGCACAGCAACAATTCGTAGGAGCAAAACTGCGTCGTAAGCACACTTGGACACAATTCGTTACGAGGACAATTCGTCGCGGGAACAATTCGTAGCAGCGATAACTCGTTGTAGGAATAATTCATTTCGCTGACAATTCGTCGAAAGCACAATTAATCACGACGTAAATTCAATTTCATCATGGGCATAATTCGTCGCGAAGACATATAAATTTAGCAATTTTATTCGGCTTAATTTTATTAGAGAAATTCTAACTTCATGAACCAAATAACATAAAATTTCAATTCAGTTTAAAGGAATTTGGAATCAAATCAAAATTTGCTTATTTTAGCATATTTGATCCTTGAATCGTTATAAAATCATTGAATTCAGAATGAATTCTCACAAACTTTACATGATTTAAAGGAAGAATATCTTTTAAGGATCTTTACTGAAACAAATAATTTTTTTTAAATTTTGAATTCACTTCTATAAGTTATCCCTCTTACATATTAATTCAATCCTAGTACATGTTTACATTTGAATTTTATAAAAATTCAATGACAGAATTTATTTTCGTAATTTTGATTATATTGAATCACAATTAACACACAAAAAATTATTCCTTTTCTTTTGTATGCAATGTAATGTCTGAATGTAATGAAGGAATATAAAATATTCGAAAACAGGCATCTCGTATTTAATTGCAAACAAACATTATTCAGAGTTTCAAACTTTTCTATTCAGAGCCGAAAAGAATTAAAATTACAGATCTAACTGAAATATTTTAGCAGAGCAAATGTCCAATTTTTAGTAAGGAAACTATTTTTATGAATTTTTTAGTTATTTAATTAATTTGATTTTTTCCTTTTTACTTCAGTTTACTATATATTTGAGCATTTTTTAATACGTTTATTCATTTTAATTTGTTGTCACTTCTTTATTTCAGTTTCTGATTTTTTTTGTGATTTTGATTTTATGATTTGTTTTTTACTTTTTAGAACTATGAATAACAACACAATACAGTTCTAGGTAAGACATCATTCATAAAAAATTAAAACACTGAAATTTACTTTTCGTTTAAAATTATAATGTTTTATTTTATTTGATAAGGTCTTATGAAATATGCAAAAGAGTCAACCAACCTTTTCATAAAAATAGACTTCTCAAAACACGAAATATTTACTATAGTTGTATTATAACTGCCGCTTTCTTTTCTTAAAATATTTGACGCTGTATCAAAGACTTAATTTATGTGATTCAGCACAGCGGTTACAAACTTTCAGAGATAGGAGAGAACTCTATCATTGAGCAATGCATAGTCTGAATGGTATGGCTGAAAGAAAGGGTGCGAATGATATTATTCTTAGTACAGCAAAAAAATAAAATACAAAGAAATATTAAAAAGAAGATATTCAACATTACAATCCCCAACAGGTATGGAAAAAATAATATTCTTGAAAATACCGTGCTGCCACAATGCCTGTAAAAAATTCCTCGACAAAGTGTAAACCAGTATCAGGTCAATTGATGACTAAGCACCAAACCTTTTTCACCATACATTCCCTTCAAGGCAATGTGTGGCTTTATGCTGAAACCATGTGAATGAACGTGTCGTGGTGAATAACTTTCCAAGATTCTATTTACTGAGCATCATTTGGAACAATTTTCTCACTGAATAACTTGGAGTAATAATAGTTTTCTGCTTCAATGCCTTTGCAAAGCGATTGTAAGGTCAAATTATAATATGATTTAGATCTGAGTTTTCATGATGAAAAATTATAACAGAGGTAAGATACTTGATTCAATTATCCTTTCAGAGAGTTTGATGACATATGAATATCTTATTATTTCAATTTAGTGAATTTTGCTTCATTACAAAATTGTGAAGGTAATGAAAAAATACCCCATAAAAATATTACGAAAAATTATAAAACATAAAATGTATCATTCTTTCGTGATAGTTAAAAGTAACTAAAAAAAGTTCAAATTTCATAAATTCAATTTTAAAAAAATATTTTATCATATTTATGAGTTTAGTTTCAATTAAGTTATGCATCGAAGAGCCATTACATTATGACCACCCTGCTAATAACATGTAGGACCACCTATAAGCCACAAAACTGCTAGCAGTTTT